AATTTTTTTGTAGTTTTAGTAGAGACGGGGTTTCACCATGTTGACCAGGATGGTCTCGATCTCTTGACCTCGTGATCCACCCGCCTTGGCCTCCCAAAGTGCTGGGATTACAGGCTTGAGCCACCGCGCCCGGCCTGCAAATTATGATTATTATTATTTTGAGATGGAGTCTTGCTCTGTCGCCCAGGCTGGAATGCAGTGGTGAGATCTCGGCTCACTGCAACCTCTGCCTCCTGGGTTCAAGCAATTCTCCTGCCTCAGCCTCCTGAGTAACTGGGATTACAGGCACGGGCCACCACAGCTAATTTTTTGTATTTTTTTTTTTTTTTGAGACATAGTCTCATTCTGTCACCAGGCGCCAGGCTGGAGTGCAGTGTCACGATCTCGGCTGACTGCAATCTCTGCCTCCCAGGTTCAAGCAATTCTCCTGCCTCAGCCTCCCGAGTAGCTGGGATTACAGGCGCGCGCCACCATGTCCAGCTAATTTTTTGTATTTTTTAGTAGAGACGGGATTTCACCATATTGACCTGGGTGGTCTTGATCTCTTGACCTTGCGATCCACCCGCCTCGGCTTCCCAAAGCGCTGGGATTACATGTGTGAGACACTGTGCCCGGCTAATTTTTTGTATTTTTAGTAGAGACAGGGTTTCACCTTGTTAGCCAGGCTGGTGTTGATCTCCTGACCTCGTGATCCGCACACCTTGGCCTCCCAAAGTGCTTGGATTACAGGGGTGAGCCACGGTGCCTGGCCCCATTTATTCTTTTGTAAAAAAAATTTTTTTTTTAAATTTTTTGAGATGGAATCTTCTGTTGCCTAGGCTGGAGTGCAGTGGCAGAATCTTGGCTCTCTGCAACCTCTGCCTCCCAGGTTCAAGTGATTCTCCTGCCTCAGCCTCCTGAATAGCTGGGACTACAGGCACGCACCACCACACCCAGCTAATTTTTGTATTTTTAGTAGAGACAAGGTTTCACCATATGGCCAGGCTGGTCTTGAACTCGTGATCTGCCCTCCTTGGCCTCCCAAAATGCTGGGATTACAGGAGCGTGCCACCTCGCCCAGTCTCCCATTTACTCTTTGTTGTTTTGCTTTGTCTTGTTGTTGTTGTTTGGGGTTTACGTTGTTTAGAGGTAGGGTCTCACTCTGTCACCCAGGCTGGAGTGCTGAGGTGTGCTAATAGCTCATTGCAACTGCAAACTTCTGGGCTCAAGCAGTTCTCCTGCCCCAGCCTCTCCCAGTAGCTAGGACTACCACCACAACTGGCTAATTTTTTTTTAATTTTTTTGAGACAGAGTCTCGCTCTGTTTTCAGGCTGGAGTGCAGTGGCATGATCTCGGCTCACCACAACCTCTGCATCCCAGGTTCAAGCGATTCTCCTGCCCTAGCTTCCTGAGTAGCTGGAACTACAGGCATGTGCCAACATGCCTGGCTAATTTTTTTGTTTTTTTTTAGTAGAGACGGGGTTTCACTATGTTGGCCAGGTTGGTCTCGAACTCCTAATCTCGTGATCTGCCCGCCTCGGCCTTCCAAAGTGCTGGGATTACAGGCATGAGCCACCGCGACCGGCCCACACAGCTAATTTTTAAATTTTTTGTAGAGACAGGATCTTGCTATGTTGCCCAGGCTGGTCTTGAACTTCTGGCCTCAAGTGATCCTCCCACCTTGGCCTCCCAAAGTGCTGAGATTATAAGACATGAGGCCTACTCTTTTCTTTTTTTTCTTTTACTATTTTTACTTTTTAACTTTATTATTCCCTCCTTTATGCTTATTTTGTATGTAATTTGCCCTTTTCTTTTCCTAGTTTTTTTTTTTTTTTTTTTTTTTTTTTTTTGACATGGAGTCTCTCTCTGTCACCAGGCTGGAGTGCAATGGCGCAATCTTGACAACTTCCACCTCCCGGGTTTAAGTAATTCTCCTGCCTCAGCCTCTGGAGTAGCTGAGATTACAGGCACCAGCCACTACGCACAGCCAATTGTGGTATTTTTAGTAGAGATGGGATTTCGCCATGCTGGCCAGGCTGGTCCCCATCTCTTGACCTCATGATCTGCCCACCTCAGCCTCCCAAGGTGCTGGGATTACAGGCATGAACCACCACGCCCAGGCCTCTTTTCCAGTTTCTTAGAGACTTTCAGCCTGGCCAACATGGTAAAACCTCATCTCTACAAAAAAAAAAAGTACAAAATAAATTAGCCAGGCATGGTGGTCCATGCCTATAATCCCAGGTACTCAGGAGGCTGAGGCAAGGGAATTGCTTGAACCAGGAGGTAGAGGTTGCAGTGAGCTGAGATTGCACCATTGCACTTCAGCCTGGGCAACAGAGCAAGACTCCATCTCAAAAAAAAAAGTAGACTCAAATAATTATTTTGGGACCTTTCTGCTTTTCTAATATAAGTAGTTCATTTTCCTTTAATCATTTGTTTTGTGGAATTCACAAATTTTGATATTTTGTTTTCATTTTTATTCAGTGAAAAATATGTTGTATTAATAATTTTACACCGGGCATGGTGGCTCACACCTGTAATCCCAGCACTTTGGGAGGCTGAGCAGGGCAAATCACCTGAGGTCGGGAATTCGAGAGTAGCCTAACCAACAAGGAGAAACCTTGTCTCCACTAAAAATGCAAAATTAGCTGGGCATGGTGGCGCATGCCTGTAATCCCAGCTACTAGGGAGGCTGGGGCAGGACAATCGCTTGAAAGCAGGAGGTAGAGGTTGCAGTGAGCTGAGATTGCGCCATTGCACTCCAGCCTGGGCAACAAGAGCAAAGCTCTGTCTCAAATAATAATAATAATAATAATAATAATAATAATAATTTTACTTGTGGTTTCTTCTTTGGTTCATGGGTTATTTGGAAGTAGATTTTTTTCATTTAAAAATACTTAGACGTTTCCTGGATGTCTTTTTGTTGTTGATTTCTAATTCAACATCATTGTGGTCAGAAATCGTACTTTGTATAAGAAGTCTATGTTGGTTAGGGCTCCATCTGCACTTGAGAAGAATGCGTTTTGCTGTTGTTGAATGGAGAGCTCCGTATATATCAACTGAGTCAATTAGGTTGATAGTGTTGTTCAAATCTATATTCTTCTGATTTTTTTTTACTGTTCATTTTATCAATTACTGAGAAAGGAATGTTAAAGTCGCCAGTGTGTTTGGAGATTTGTCCGTATCTTGTTTCATATATTTAGTAGATTAGGTGCTTACATATTTGAAATGGTTATGTGTTCTCGATTATGTGTTCCTTTTTCCTTATGAAATGTCCCTCTTGATATCTGGTAATACTCTTTGTCTTGAATTCTGCTCTACCTGATATTAGTATGATAGCCATGGCAGCTTTCTTATGCTCAGTGTTTGCTTGGTATATCTTTTTCCATACTTTTACTTTCAACATGTCTGTGTCTTTATGCTTCAAATGTGCTTCTTGTAAATAACATATAGCTATTTTATCTAGCCTGACAGTCTCTGCCTTTTAACTGGTGTGTGTGGCAGATTGTGTTTTTCAAAGGTAGCCCCAACAATATCTCCCATCCCACATGCTCTCCTGGAACCTTGCCACTTCCCCATCAAGAGGTGGAATTTAACCCTCCCCCACTATAATCCGGGCAGGCTTGTGACTTTCTTGTACTCAAGATAATACGGTAAGAGTGGTGCTGATTGATTTGCGAGGCTGGTGCAGAAAAGGTAATGCAGCTTCTGCCTTGTTAGCAGGGACACTCACTCTTCAAGCCCTTAGCCACCATGTAAGCATTCCAACTTCCCTGAGGCTACAAGAAAGACCAAATCAGCCATCATGGAATGACCGCATGAAATGGCTCTGAGGCCAGGCGGTGACTCACGCCTATAATCCCAGCACTTTGGGAGGCCGAGGCAGGCAGATCACCTGAGGTTGGGAGTTCGAGACCAGCCTGTTCTACATGGTGAAACACCGTCTGTACTAAAAATACAAAAACTAGGTGTGATGATGTACACCTATAATGCCAGGCACTCTGGAGGCTGAAGCATGAGAATTGCTTGAACTCGGGAGGCAGAGATTGCAGTGAGCCAAGATCGCACACTGGCTCCAGCCAGGACAACAGAGTGAGGCTGTGTCTCAAAAAAAAAAAAAAAGGTGGGGGGCTCTGAGACAATATGAAGAGGGAGAGATGGCCAGCCAGCTCTCAGTTGCTGGGGCACCACACTGTCCCAGCTTCAGCCACCATCTGACAGCCACCACAGAAAGACCTGGGCCAGGACTACCCAGGTGAGCCCTTCCCAAATCCCTTTTTCTTTTATTTCTTTTTTTTTTTTCGACACGGAGTTTTGCTCTTGTTGCCCAGGCTGGATTGAGATGGCAGGATCTCGGCTCACTGCATTTTCCACCTCCAGGTTCAAGTGATTCTCTTGCCTCAGCCTCCCGAGTAGCTGGGACTACAGGTGCATGCCATGACGCCTGGATAATTTTTATATTTTTAGTAGAGACAGGGTTTCATTATATTTGTTAGGCTGGTCAGGAACTCCTGACCTCAGTGATCTGCCCACCTCGGCCTCCCAAAGTGTTAGGGTTACAGGCGAGAACCACCTTGCCGGCCTCTTTTTTTTGGCAGGGTCTCACTCTCACCCAGGCTGGAGTGCAGTGACATGATCACAACTCATTGCAGCCTTGACCTCCCGGTCTCCTGAGTAGCTGGGACTATAGGCATGTGCCACTACAGCCAGCTAATTGTTGTATTTTTTGTGGAGACAGAGTCCTGCCATGTTGCCCAGGCTGTTTTAAACTCCTGGGCTCAAGCAATCCTCCCACTGCAGCCTCCCAAAGTGGTGGGATTACAGGTGTGAGTTACCACACCTGGACTATTTCTAAGAAGTAAAAAATCATATATATTTACCCCTTCTGTGGTAAATACATGTAATAGAACAGTGGGGAATACAACAAATAAAATTATGCCCAAAAAAGGGCATGACCCTTATTGTCAGGCTATTAGTGTGTGCATGTGTGTTTGTGTGTGTCTGTGGTGTGTGTGTGTGTGTGTGTGTGTGTGTTAGAGGCGGATGTATAGTTCAGTGTAGTCTGGGGTTTCTTGTTGCTTTGCGTAGACTCAGTTCTAATGATTTCAGAGCAGGATCAGAACTGTGATCTGAGTGGCTGGGAGTTTCCTTGGTTCTCCTGCCTCACCTGTAGACTTCAGCAGATTCCGGAGCATTGGTGCCTCTGGTGGTCTTTAGCCTCCACTCCAGCCGTAGTTGGCCTCTGCCTTGTATTCCGTGTAAGGCTTAGAATCAACTGGAAGGTTTCTTTCAGTTCTTCTGTCCCGCCTTAAGACTTCCTAGAGCTTGGGGATGAAGTGTTCAGCTCTCCTGCCCTGGTGCAGTCACCAATTATAGCTGCTCTGTACTCAGTGGAAGGTCAGGAGCGCCAGGGGGGTTTCCTGTCCGTTCCCTTGTCCTGCATCTAGACCACAGCAGCCTGAGCGCATCTCTACCTTGGAGAGTATCTCTCAGCCTACCTGCTTTGCTTTCAAACTTTCTTTTTTTCTTTTTTTTTTTTTTTTTTTTTTCTGAATTCATGACTTTATTTAATAAACACTATGTTTTGCAACCCATATAAAAACTGATCACCCAAGCACATACAAAAGGAACATATTTATCTATAGTGGGCTTGCTTAAGTATTGACAACTAGTCACTGTCCTCTAAATACTCTTATTTTGGCAATAACCCACAAGGTTAACTTTTAGAAAATTCAGCTTGATACAATAAAATAATTCATCATAATTAGACAATACAATTTTTCACTTTTGAGGCAAAATACATAAATCAATACTTGTTTATATGACTTGCAAAATGTCTATACATTAAGATTGCTACAGTCTATAAGGTAACCAAAGATAAGTGATACATACCCTTTAGAAAACACAATTTGTCTGGGGGGATGGTTGCACATATATTTAAATATGCTAAAAACCACTGAATTATATATTTTAAATGTGAGATTTATACGGTATGTGAATTGTATATCATGAAGGCTTTTTAAACAAAACAACACTGCTGTTAACTTAGATCAAAAAAAAAAACCAACCCATAATTTGTCACACATTGTTCTTTTCAGACATATTTTTATAAAGACAGAAATTAACATTTGTAGCATCAGCAAGTTTGATTAGCAAATGTTACCCATGTACGTATAATTATCTAATCAGTAGCCAAAGTGTGCCCTTGACGCTAACCACCCCTAGAATTGAATAATCTGTAAATTACAACATGAGTTGTAATCCCCCATCCACTACCAGAACATGCCCTGTAATATATGGCGATTCTAAAAGAAATACAACCGCATGTGCCACCTCAAGTGTTTCTCCAAACCTTCCAAGGGGAATATTTTTCTTTAAATGTTCTTCTTTCAAGTGTTTCGTCATATCTGTGTGTACAAATCCTGGTGCAACTACATTCACTCTAATTTTCTTTCTTGCTACCTCTTTAGCAAGAGCACGCGAAAATCCAACTAATCCTCCTTTACTGGCACCATAAACAGACTGGCCAGAATTGCCTTTTAAGCCAACAATGCTTCCTACATTAACTATAGACCCTCCCTGTTGTTGAATCATAGTCCTCACGGCAGCTTTACAGGTCAGCATGGAACCCAAGAGGTTGGTATGAAGCTGAGATACCATATCTTCGGTTTTTGTTCTTACTAAAAGACTATCCCTGTTAATACCAGCTGCATTTACCAAGAAATTTACTCGACCTAAGTGTTTCTCCATCTCTTCAAATGTATTTTGAACATCATGTTCTTTAGCAACATCACAGCTAAATGCCAAATGATCTCCTGCGGGTTGCGGAGGCCGCGAGCCGGAGGGAGCCCCAAGGGCTCGGGCGGGCGCTGTGCAGTCCCAGGGTCCGGCTGAAAGCGAGGTTCCCGGGGCTAACTACCGCGCGGTAACCGGACACCCAGTTGCCGCGCCGCACGCGGGGGCTCAAACTTTCTTGATGAAGGCCCATGCAAAAGAGTTAGTGGTTGAATGCAAGCTCTCTTGAATCAGAGGCATTAGAGTGTCTGCAGCCTCATGCCGTCCCACACTCAGCCTTTTAAAATGTGTTCAAAGTTTCTCTGTTTCTTTCTTACACAAGTTTGTTGCAGTGTCCGCTTCCTGCTGCTGCTCTGCCAAAAATAAAAGCAGCTATGGAGCTCTTTTCTCCTAGAAAGGGCTTTTTAAGATTTTGATTCTTTTTTCACCGCAGCATCACCTTCCTGATAGGCTTAAAAGAGAAAAAATTCCATGATTTTGTAGGTGATCCAGCTTCTTCTTATAGCTAGGGCGGGAGTGATGTTGTCTTGCAACTTTCTATATTTTGTTTGTAGGAAGTAGAAAAGTTCCTTTTTAACGTTTCCTTTCTTGTTAAAGAATAAGTGTGTTAATAACTTTGTGAAGCCCTATCCTATGTAGCTGTTAGACACGCCATGCTTACAGGCACGTAGTACATTCTGTGTCCTTGTACTTTCACCAAGATATCTGTGCTGGACGTGCTCACAGGCATGTCCCAGCTCTCCATTGCTTTTATCTGTTTAGAAAAGTTTTAAATTGTTAGCCAATTCGGTTTTAGTTAGCTGGTGAGGTCTGACTCCAACCAACCGAGATGAGACACAGCAGGAAGGATGACCCCAAATGCGTAAGGAATAAATTTGTGTGTTTTCCTGTGTTCATTGTACTCTCGTGGCAAGATGGCTAGTGAGTACCCTTCCTACAGTCCAAGAAGTAAAAATTTCGTTGCTGAAAGATCCTTTGTCTCAGTGCTAATTTTTCTTTGTGGCACCGAGCATCTATTTCCAACATGTTAGAAGCAAAATATCTGTCTATTGAATTTTTAATGTATGCTTCCACAAAAAGCTCTTGTTTGTTCTCTGAATGTTCCTTTTTTTATAGCATCCTATTCTTGTTTGATGGATATATTTACATTCTATTATCTCCCTAATTTAATACTTTTAAAAATTCTTATCTCTGATTGTTGTGTTTCCCACCAATTGTCTTCCTCTTTGTTTTGATCTTGATCTTTCCTGCTTTCATGTTAGAGGTTTTCCTCTAATTACCAGACACCTTGGTTGTCTTCTCATATTTAAGAATGGGGAGGGCTGGGCGTGGTGGCTCACGCCTGTAATCCCAGCACTTTGGGAGGCCGAGGCAGGTGGATCACCTGAAGTCAGGAGTTCAAGACCAGCCTGATCAACATGGTGAAACCCTGTCTCTACTAAAAATACAAAATTAGCTGGGCCTGGTGGCACATGCCTGTAATCCCAGCTACACAAGAGGCTGAGACAGGAGAATCGCATGAATCCAGGAGGTGGAGGTTGTGGCGAGCCAAGATCCTGCCATTGCACTCCAGCCTCGGCAACAAGAGCAAAACTCCGTCTAAAAAAAAAAAAGAATGGGCACTAATGAGCTGATTGGAAGGGAAGGACTTGTAAACTATGAGCTTCATCGTAGGATGATCTAGCTGGGCTGGTTTTATTGGAGAACCCCAATTTTACTACCTTTAGCTCCTTCATCTTGGGATGGCCAAATACCCAGAGAGAGATCTTTAGCCTGATGCCTGAGGCTGGTTGTTAGCAATTGAGAAACAGAGTGGGCCAAGAGGACCCAAAGTGATCCAAATTCAGTAGGTAAATATTCATTTAAACCCCTAACTTTTAATCTGATGCCATCTAAGCTGCTTCTGGTATTCTCCCCTTGAAACATTCTTTGTTTCACCCTCTCCAAAGAATGAACATTCTGTTCCGTTGGGATGGAGAAAAGCATGTGGAGATCTAACCGCCTCTTCCACAGACTGTCAATGGCACTTCCATACTCACCTCCGCTTTGTGCAGTGAAATTCAGGTGGTGCTCAGCTTTCCCTATTGCCCCGCTTTCCTGGGTCTGCGGCATCAGTCAGTTACTGTTCAGCTCCAATGATTTTGTTGCTGTTATCTATTTTCCCATTATTTCTGTCCTTGGGAATTTTTTCTTTTTAAAAAGCCATTTACTGTCATTTTGGTGTGATTTCATGAGGAAGAAAAAGCAAATGCATGTGCTTAATCTGTCACCTTCATTTTCTTTTTTCTTTCTTTCTTTTATTTTTGAGATGCGGTCTCTCTCTGTTGCCCTGTTGACCAGGATGGAGTGCAGTGGCGTGATCTCGGCTCACTGCAACCTCCACCTCCTGGGTTCAGGTGATTCTCCTGCTTCACTCTCTGGAGTAGCTGGGATTACAGGCATGTGCCAACACACCCCGATAATTTTTTTGTTTGTTTGTTTACTTTTAGTAGAGATGGGGTTTCACCATGTTGGACAGGCTGGTCTTGAACTTCTGACCTCAAGTGATTCACCCACCATGGCCTCTCAAGGTGCTGGGATTACAGGCATGAGCCACTGTGCCCAGCCAGTCACTTCCATTTTCAAATCAACAGTATGTGGAGACAGTCTAGAAGGTGCACTGAGTGGAAGGGAGGCAGGGCTGGACAAGACCATGTGGCAGGATTGTGATATTCATGGGCAGTCTACACAGTAACATGATCACCTCCAGGCTGGGAGGAGGAGTGGTGAAGGCAAACAAGCAATTCTGTTCAAAGCCTGGGACTTCATGGGTCGAGTTTAAGGGAAAAACAAAGGAGTGCATGACTTCAGTGTGGTCACATAGGACAGGCCCAGCAAGATGCCCACCATCCAGTGACTTAGACATAGTTGATGTCTTAGTCAGTTCCAGCTGCCATCACAAAATACCACAGACCAGGTGGCTTAAACAATGGAAATTTATCTTCTCACAATTCTGGAGGTTGGAAGTCCCAGATCAATGTCTGGCAGGGTCCATTTCTGGTAAGGGCTCTCTTCCTGGTTTGCAGATGGCCACCTTCTCACTGTGTCCTCATATGGTAGGGGCAGCGGTGGAGGGGAGGGAAGAATGTTTGTCTTGTGTTCTTTCTTCTTTCTTTCTTTTTCCTTCTTTCTTTCTTTCTTTGTTTCTCTTTCTTTTTTTCTTTTCTTTCTTCTCTTTGTTTCTCTCTCCTCTCTCTCTCTCTCTTTCCTTATTTGAGGTGGGGTCTTACTCTGTCACCCAGGCTGGAGTGCAGTGCCACAATCTCAGCTCACTGTATCCTCCACCACCAAGGCTCAAGTGATCCTCCCACCTCAGCCTCCCAAGTACCTGGGAATACAGGTGTGTGTGACCATTCCTGGCTAACTTTTTGTATTTTTTGTAGAGATAGGATTTCACCATGCGGCCCAGGCTGGTCTCAAACCCCTGGACTCAGGTGATCCATCCACCTTGGCCTCCCAAAGTGCTGGGCTTACAGCATGATGACTCATGCCTACTTCATCTTCTTTAGATGCTCCACTTGGGGGTTTTGGCTTCAACATACAAATTTTGGGGGTACACACACATTCAGTCCATAACAGATGGACATGCTGCATATCACAGAGCCTGCTCCAACCTTGGCCTCAGTTGCCTGGACCAGTTGCAGTGAGCCAAGATTGTGCCATTGCACTCCAGCCTTGAACTCCATCTCAAAAATAAATAAATAGGCCGGGCGTGGTGGCTCACGCCTGTAATCCCAGCTACTCAGGAGGCCGAGGCAGGAGAATCGCTTGAACCCAGGAGGCAGAGGTTGCAGTGAGCCCAGATTGCGCTACTGCACTCCAGCCTGGGCAACAGAGCAAAACTCCGTTAAAAAAAAAAAAAAGTAAGCCACCAAGTCCAGCTCAGGTCCAGCTTATACTCAAGGGAAGGAGAATTAGGCACCATCTCTTGAAGGCAAGAGTATCAAACAATTATGGACCTACATCAAAACCACCAGAACAGAGGTATTGGTTAACTTCAGAGTTTGTTAAGAATGCATGTTAAAATAGCTAGAGGAACTATTAAAAAATTCATAGAGCGATTCTAAAGAAAGAGAGGGGAAAATAGAACAAGAAAGCAAATGCAATCCATCTACAAGATGACCAAGAGCAGAGTGTCTGCCTGGGCCTGTTGACAGCTCTCACCTCCTTCTGGGCTCTGGACGGCAGATGCTGGAAACGTCCCAGACTCCGGAGCAACCGGGATTTGGGAAGCAAATTCAGTTTTGCCAATCAGGCATGCTCACGTAAAGTCTGATGGAAGGGAGGCCACCCTCCTGCTGTGTGGGCTGCATTTCTGCTGCACATCAAGGAATTTCTGGGGTCTAACCTCCACTTCTTGGTTGTTGAGGGGCATTTGTGGTAGCAATGGCTTCCCAGTCCCATCTTGCTGATCCTCAGGTCATGACTTTGGTGGTGTCCTTTTGAACTCAAAGGTTACACTGGCCGTCTCCCAATCCTCCACTCTGTGAATGGTGGCAGAAGTAGCAGCTCTCTTGGGGAGCCAGGAGGTGGAGGCTGCAGTGAGCCATGATCACACCACTGTACTCCAGCCTAGGCAACAGAGTGAGACTCTATCTCAAAGCATAACAAGAACAATAATGAAAAAATAATAAAATGGAGATGGGGGAGAGAAATGAGGAAAGCCGGACAAATACTCAACTGGCATGAATACATCCAGAGATAACAACAGTGTTCACTGTGTGACCAGCTGACCTGCACAGTTCAAAGACAAAGGCAGGTCAACATCAATTTACCACTGGATCGAACAATCCACCCCTTAGCGATTACCTTGGAGAAATGAAGACATGCGTTCACACACAAGCCTGCACATAAATGTTTAGAGCTGCTCCATCATATTCACACAAAGCTGGAAACCACACAAGTGTCCTTCAGCGGGTGAATGGCTGAATAAACCCTGATCCAGCCAAACAAAGTTCAAAAAGTATGCTGAGTGAAAGGAGCCAGACCAAAGAATACATACTATATGATTCCATTTGTAGTAAAGTTTAGAAAAGACAGAAATCAGATCACTGGTGGCCAGGGGCGGGGAGTGGAGGGAGTGGTTGGCTGCAAAGGGCATTTGGGAATTCGGAGAGGTGATGGCATGCTCTAGAGCATGGTTTTGGTGATGGTTGCGCAACATTCACCAAAACTCATTGAACTGTAAACCTCAAAAGGGTGAATTTTGCTATATGTAAATTTTACACTTCAATAAAGTTGTTTTTTTCTTTTTGTTGAAGCAGGATCTCACTCTGTTGCCCATGCTGGAGTGTAGTACCGTGATCATGGCTCACTGGAGCCTCAGCCTCGTGGTAGCTGGGACTACAGGCGGACACCACCACGCCCGACTAATTTTTCTATGTTTTTTCTTTTTTTGTGGAGACGGGATCTCACTATGTTGCCCTGGCTGGTGTCGAATAAAGCTGATTTTTAAAAAGACAAGAATTGTTAGAATCAAACCAAACCCAGACGCAAGTATGTGTTTCCAAGTGCTACACGTGAGATACGAAGGCACAGAAAGATTGAAAGGAGAACAGAGAAAGATATGTTGGGCCGAGCCCACCCGGCCTGCCTGCTGGCACTTTCTTCTGCCCCACTGTCAGCTGTGGCTTCGGC